TGTCTCTCTGTCTTTCTCTCTCTCTCTCTCTCTCTCTCTTGCACTATTTCGTCTCTAGAAAATGACTTTTTGGCATTATGCACGCAAGTTAAATTCCCCGTGGACGTCTAGAAGGCATTAGAAGTAAAATTGATCTTGTTGCGTATTTGTGACATTCCGTCAGGCGGCGTAGCCACAGCGACCGGTTGGTCATTTTTGTGTTTGAAATGTGTTCAGACAACTTTGCAGAAATTCGCATCATAGCGCTGCAAAAGTTTCGAGCGGAGCACAGAGCAGGAATCTGTAGTTATTCAACATGAATAAAGTGTATGTTGTGTAAGCGACGTAACAGTGTGACTATTTTTAATTAATTTCTGTTCGATGCTTATTTAGATCTGCTGCCTATGGACGCCCTCTGTTGTTCACCACCTGAAGACAATTTATGCGCCATCTAGCGGATCACGTTTTCGAATCTGACGCCAGTCTCTTCATGCTGTGTTTCCAAGATGGCAGCGCCCAAACAGTAAATAGCAATAAATAATATCTTGATAAGTAATAAATTAATGCATAAATTTTGCTCTTTTCTGCCGTATGGATTTATGTAAATCGTTGTCGCATAGACATGGCAGCGATCTCATGGTTAGACTATTAGATGTAGTCCTGGCTATGCTGGCTGAAAACCAGTATTATAATCAGGAGTCTATCAATGACAATGTTATTGATGGTCCAGACTCCTGGTAGTGGTAGTGGTATAATCTTATAATCTTTGTCTGTTAGTGTGAGTCTGTGACCATGCCATGGCATGTTGTTGACTGTGTCTGATAGACTAGTGTTGTATAGGCATATTTTTTATTATGATTTATGGCGATTGGTTAAGTTGTTATGAACATAAACATGCATGTGCATACACACATGCGCGCGCAAGCACACACGGACACACGCACGCACGAGCACACGCACAACATGCACGCACAACACGCACAGATAGAGAAAGAGAGAACGGCAGCCAGAAAAGTGAGGGCAGCAGAGAGAGAGAGAGACAGACAGACAGAGCAAGAAAGAGAAATGGTGTTGATATATTTATGCTATTGCGAATGACCTACCCTTGTTGATTCACTTTCCTAATTAGCCGTATTCAAACAGCTTCCCTACTGACACTATATAGTGTTTCATACGGTTTATTCCCAGTTGGCCTACTCCCATTTTGCCTACGGCAAAATTCCCATTTTGCCTACAACAAAATTACCAGTTGGCCTACACCCATTTCGTCTACGCTCAAAATCTACCCCATTTCCATTTCGTCTACGATCGGTTTGTTCACTAAATAATCATTTATAATTAATTAATTATGGTAGTGATTGGCATGTACATAGACTACAGTAACCAGAAGAAAATATAGGTACAAATAATGAGAACACAACTGGACAAAAATAGAAAATACAGTAGAATAATCGGAGTAGGCAAAATGGGAATATTGCAGATTTTGAGAGTAGATGAAATGGGAGTAGGCCAACTGGGATGTTACCTCTCATACTAGTTTTTCAGTTTCATACATTGCTGGTAATTAAACTACTAATTTATCACAAACATTGTGGTTTCTCTAGTATATTATATTTCATATAGAGTGTGCAGATCTATGTTGAAATTAATTTTGAGATTATTTTGGGGGTTAGATCCATGTTTTGGATCAAGGATAGTTTGGGACCTCCGCAATATGTTTTCGCATATGTACTACACTAATCTGGGGTGCTACACTAGGCTTGGGCCTATGTCTCTGTGGCCACTACCCACAATGGCAAATACAAATTATAGAGTCAGTCTAGACCTTGGATGAAACTGATGATACTGAACAAAAATATAGGTGTATGATCTAATGAACTATCTATTTTAACAGATAGATATACGGAATAAACGTGTAACTTTGGTCACTAGCTACAGCTTAGTTATATATACCTAAAACCATGAGCATATAATATATACAATCCAGTTAATATGATTAATATCACTCAATATTTGATATACGTTTCAGGTATGGATTAATCTTGTCACAGAAAAAGCAGAAACCAAATCTGAGTGTCAAACCATCTATCTTTGATGAAGATAGCGATGATGAGGTAATATGCTGTAAAATATGAGGATATGAATCTGTCAATCAATCATATTATTTTTATGTAAACTTATCCATGGTATTGTCATTAAAGCTACATTGTCTTGATGTTAGAGAGCTATTCTAATTACTATCGTAATGTTTTTACAGTCAAGCTAAATTACAAATACAAATTAATCCCCACTATCATGAAAATCGTGAATTCATTGTGCCATCGCAGAACACTGGGAACCAACTGGTGTCATCATGCTCTGTGCAAAATTGTACCAAAACAAATTAAATCTATAGATTTCTTGTACATTTTCAGATTGTGTATCATGCAAATTTATTGATCTGAGAATAACAGACGTCTAACCTGCCTAACTGTTATCATAGTTTACATAAGTTATCTGCATGTATGTCATTTCATTATTTGTATGCCAAAGACTTGCTAATATTGTAATAAATGCTTCTATTTTATACCAGACGAAACATCGAGGGCCTCTTAGGGGTCCAGCCGAGACCAATCTCAATCGATTGAAGAAGGAGACAAAGCTACAAATGCAAAAGGCTATTGAACAGGATCCTAATGTATATGAGTATGACACCGTCTATGATTCGATCGAAGAGAAGAAGAAGGAAATGGAGGCAAAGTTGACTCAGAAAGATCGCAAGGTGTAGTAGTCATGTAATCTAGTCGCGTAGGAAAAACAACTATAGGCCTATTATATAAATATCTTGGTGCCACTGGTATTCCTAAGATGACAGCCAGTAAACTTCAAACACTTGATTTGGTGATTTATTTGTTTGGCAGAAATATATCGAATCATGAGTAGGGCTTTTTATTTTCCTTATATAGTTTTAACTGTGTTCTCATTACAGCCTAAGTACATCGAAAAGTTGTTAAAAGCTGCCGAGTTGAGAAAAAAAGAGCAAGAAAGGAGAAAAGAGGTACAAATTCAGATGGAGCGGGAGGCTGAAGGGAATGAGTTTGCAGATAAAGATGCATTTGTAACATCCGCATACAAGAAGAAACTGTTGGAGAGACAAGAGGAAGAGGAAAGAGAGAAACGCATGGCTGAACTCGAAGGTATAGCTCTATTTTATAGACTGTATTTGTTGGTATTCATCTTATGCTACAGCATCCAATACAAGATATGACTAGCATAGATCTACACAGAAACTATATGCTCGTTTGTCTAAATTCCACACATGTATTTATTTTATTTTATCCGTTATTTGTACAGATGAACGTTGTTAGTAACTTAATTTGGTGATAGAATTTGCACGTGTTTCGTGAAAATCTTGTCACAAGTGACTTTCATTTCTAGCTCTGCAAGATGTTACAAAGCAGAAGGACTTGAGTGGGTTCTATAGACATCTGCTTAAGCAGCAAGTGGGAGAGGAGAAGATGCCAGATGCTGCATTGAAGTCAGCAGCTATATCAAGCAGTATACAACAATCAGAAAGGTACACATTTATTCTGATGAGGGAGTTAATGACCAGGGGGTCTTCACCTTTCTCCTCTGCATTCACCGAACCCCATCCTTTCCTTGGAGCATTGTCAGAAACATTTTACTCTTAACATTAATACCCTAACATTAACCTTTTCCCATTCACTATTGACAGAAACAATGTAAAGTTACGAGAATGAAAAATGCTAGTATATTTTCTCGTAAGTCTATGATATTCAACACCTTGTAACCATAAAACGCAGGTTAAAAGAATGATATTACACACCAAAATTACAATTATATTGATATTGTATTGTAATATATTTTTAGTGAAAGCTACATTTTTCATGAGAAACCTTGGAAACGTTATCTCCCAATCACCTATCACAACAGCTACTCACAAACGTGACAATTGTTCTTTTACTTCTTATGTTTTGATGAGTTGCAACATTTGTATCGCAACATGCATGCCTTCGCCTGATGCACAATATGAGACATACTTGAATTTGAGATTTGTGATCGATTCTCATTCAGTAAGCAGCGTTGTCAGCAAATTAAGTAATTACACCAAATTCCTATTATCGTATATTTGTTTATAGCTGTAATGTGTTTATGTCAGCGCTATTTTCATCACTTAACATTAGCTTTAAGTATTATTATAGCATTATCTTTACTCGTAGCATTGCTATGTTTCTGGCAACGGGTCCGAGAACTGCTCCTGCTTTTGCTTCTTAAACGTAAAACAGTCTCGCTCGAGTCACTCATACTTGATCGATCAATCTGCTTCTATACTCAAACAATCGAAATGTATTTTCACACAGCCAACCGTCTGGGGACAGCAGTCCGCCAAAGCTCGAGCCGTTGGACCCATCCACGGCTGCTGCGAAGCACACGACACAGGCGAAAGCCACTTCTGAGGAACGCCAGCTGCCAGTCAAGATCGAAGAGTCGCAGATTGAAGGCGATCGGGTCACCACGAGGCAGGCGGAACAATCGAACAATGCGCTGCAACCGGCGATGAAGGCGGAGACGTTTGAGGAAGATGCAGACACGGATATCGACGACGATTCGTCGAGCAGTGAGCCAGCGCAGCCGCCACCAGCCAGCAACGATACGGCAGCAGACAACGCTCGGTCAGTGCCTGCGAGGAACGACGAGGAAGAGAATGAAGCCACACTAGCAGAGACGTTGCAGGAGAAGACTTCTACTGACAGCGTCGCTCAGCAAGATACGGTCGCGAGCGGAAGCAGGGATGGGGAGTCTGAGCGAGACAGAGATAGGGCCAGTAGCAAAGGTGAAGAGCGCAACCAAACCAAAGATAAAGACAGTAGCAGACATAGAAACAGAGGTAACAGAGGGCGTGACAGGAGCAGGGATAGAGAGCGAACGAGGAGCAGGGATAGAGGGCGTGACAGGAGCCGGGATAGAGAGAGAACGAGGAGCAGGGATAGAGAGCGAAGGAGGAGCAGAGATAGAGGGCGTGACAGGAGCAGAGATAGAGGGCGTGACAGGAGCAGGGATAGAGGGCGTGACAGAAGCATGGATAGAGGGCGTGACAGGAGCAGGGATAGAGACAGTGGGAGATATAGAGAAAGAGATAGAGGGCGTAGGAGTAGAGATAAAGACAGCAGTAGATATAGAGACCGAGATCGAGACAGTGGCAGACATAGGGACAGGCATAGTAACAGAACCAGAGACAGAGAAGAGGACAGGTACAGAGACGGGCGTAGAGCTCGCAGCCAAGATAGATCTAGTGATAGAGAAAATGACAGAGATCGTAGAGACAAAAGTAGGGATTCGGACCGAGATTCTGAACGAAAACAGCACAGAGAACGACAGAGCGAAGGAGAACCTCCTCAGCATGGCTCGGCAACAGCTCATAAAACTGCCGAGTCTAGCCAAGGCATCGCCAATGTAAGCTTGGACAAAGACGAGGTGTCACCAGACAAAGATAAAGCGATACCACGCGAAGATGATGTGATGCAGGGCAAGGAGGCGACAGCAGTCAGCGATACCGAATCGGCAGGAGACAGAGAGAAGCCGAGGCAAGACAAAGCTGCATCTGCAAAGCTAGATCAAGAAGAGCGGCCACAGGGCGTGCAAGAAGAGGAGATAGTTGGTCCAGCTAGGCCACCTATTCTTGCCAGCGCTTCTTCTAGTGAACCGGAAGAGGAAGACCTCACTACTGAGACACCAGCACCAGTGAAGCCCGACCCAATGGCAAAGTTTGCGAAACGTAACAGGGAAGATGCGGTGGCCTCCGCCAGGGAGCGTTACTTGGCGAGAAAACGGGCGAGAGCAAATGACAATACGCGAGTGACCGAGCCTGCGGAATAGCACGGATCGCGGGTGCGCCACCTAGTGGTGAATGTGACAAATAATTCCCATTGTGACGTCATAGGAAGACGTGATAGGTAGTGAGGCACTCTAATTTTGTATGCCACAGAGCACAGACTGATTCACAATGTAATGTAAAGGACAACTTGTTGCATATCACTTGCACGGTTTGGTATATATATAGGACGTATATGTACAGTATTTGTGATCTGTCATCTTGTATTATTGCTGCTTATCAGTGTAGCTCATGCATTTCGTAAGAAATACATTCATTGAGGTAAGTTTCAGAATTTTAAATAAATTGGTAAGTCACATTGGTAGTATAACACACTACAATCTGTTATTTGTAATGTGGACGTGATAGCGACAGTGGGTTTGAAAAGAAAACATTAATTTAGGTAATTGTATGGGGGAATTTTTATGGTAATTTGAATTTGGCAATTTGTGTATATTGTGAAATCGTGTGAATAGAATTCTAATTAGCTAAACACCCTGTATGCGTTTTTGAGTCGGATACATGTTGAGGAATCGTGCCGTAGCACTCATGAGTCGATCAATAGTAGAGAGTAGAGTAAAGATATTCGTGTTCAGTTCACAGATAAATACATATTTAATTTCACATGATGACAAACATTTACAATATTTACAAAAAAGGTAATACTAATGCGGCAGCATGTCGTGAATTTGTACAAATTTTTACATACTAGACAATTATCAACATGGCGTACTGTACCAAGCTATCAGTTCTAATGCGACAGACCTGGTTGGGCATACAGGTATGATAGACGCTACGAGGATATTCAACCTCTCACACTCTGTGAGTCCTCCTTGTGTTACACAGACACCAGGAAAACCTTCAGAGTTGCTGGCTAGGTTGCAGATGGTGGCTTGTCTTACCTAAGCATTCAAGTTCCTGAATATTTCAGCCGAAACATGCATACTCGGCTAGTGTTTAGTGGTTATTTTTGCTAAAAAAAATGGTAAAAGTATAAATACGTTTGAGACTACACCGCGAGGCACAAAAGCACAATTCGAACAACGCGCGTTATACATTTACATTACATATATATATATATATATATATATATATATATATATACATATATATATATATATATGACCCATTAGCGGTTTATAACATATTAAAATACGTAGCAAGACTTCTAATATCTTCATATACTCGGTAGTACTTGACTGTGCAGACCTTACACTGGGTATTATTCTACAGGGTTACAAAACTTTGGAAAGCTAACTTCTGTGCCATACAGACATACTACACCTATATGCATGTCAGCGCAAACATCGCTAATAAACTCCACAAAGCAGTGAATAGATTTGAATACGTACATGTACGACTATATGTAATACGTCTACAACTAGCACTCTATCGCGCCGCATAATTTACGTATATTAATACGTAATATTTCACATGTGAACACGTACAACACCTCTGAAAATGATATCCACTACAGACATGGCATGTTGTGTGTGCTGTATGCACCACGAGAAAAACGCGTACATCTCCTATGCTTTCCCAGCAGATCCAATGGTTCTTCATCTACCTAATATCCTATTATTAATAATATACGTATTATTAAATAGCTTATTTACAACACGAGTAACATTCTAGGAACAGATTTTGCGACTGGATGATTGTAACGTATGCGTTGAAAAGTTAAGCGAACGTCAAGTGAGAACTGCATGCATGGAAACGGGACTCGTCTCCTTCAGAGAAGCCATAAAGCGTGTTGACAATACGATTCGCACGCAGCACGTTGAAGGTCAAGACACACTGCAGCGC